ACCCTTCTGGGGGCCTATTTTAAAAATAAAGGCAACCTCTGGTTTGTCCAAGTTTTTAAAAAAATGGGATGGAAGGAAGGCAAAGTCATAGATGGAAACAGAAAATATCTACATTTCATTTTTTTTTGTTTTGTTTTGTTTTTGCTGGATATTTAGTAAAACTTTTAAATCAAGAAGGAAGTATTTTTCCTGATACAAAATTTTCTTGAGATAGTCTATCAAAAATTTCCTCTCATTTTTTTTTTTTTTTGGTTGCAGTACATCTGAAACCCCTATTATTTTGATATTGGACCTCCTTCTTCTAATTCTGGTACATTCCTCACTCTTATTTTCCTTCTCTTCATTTTTTATTAACTATAATTGACAGAAAGCACTGTATTTGTTTTAAGTGTACAACGTAATGATTTGATATATGTCTGTGTTGCAAAATGATTAACACAGAAAGTTTACTTAACATCCATCGCCACACAGTTACATTTTTTTCTCTTGGGACGGGAACTTTTAAAATCTACTCTCTTAGTGACCTTCAAAAATGCAACACAGCTTTGTTGAGCAGAGTCACCATGCTCTACATGACACCCCAGGACTTACTTCTCTTGTACCTGGAAGTTTGTACCTGTGACATCTTCACCCAATTCACTCCCACTCCACCCTCTTCTGGCAACTCTCAATCTGTTCTCTGTACCTATGAGTTTATGTTTGTTTTGTTCTGTTGCTTTGGTTTTGGGGGGTTCTCCGTGTAAGTTAGTTACACGGTATGTTTGTTATGACAAATCCATACGAACTGAGTGCCTGTGTTTGGAGACAGGGCCTTTCTTTTGTTTAAATTTCTTTTCTGCATGTGTGCGTTTTTTTGTTTGTTTGTTTGTTTGTTTGTGTGTTTGTTTATTTGGAGGGGTAATTAGGTTGCTTTTTGTCTTTTTGTTTTCATGGAGGTGCTGCGGAGTGAACTAGGACCTCGTGTATGCTAAGCACGTGCCCTGCCTCTGAGCTGTACCCTCCCCCCAGGGTCTTTAGATTTAAAGACAGGGTCTTTGCAGAGTTAAGTTAAAATGAGTCCTTTAGGGTGGGCCCTAGTCCTACCCGACTGGAGTGCCTACAAGAAGAGGACCGTGAGCACAGACACGTGCACACAGAGGGAGACCGAGTGAAGACTCAGGTGGAGGAACCAGGGCCAAGGAGGGAGGTCCTTCTCTCACTGCCTCAGAGGGACCCCACCCCGCTGTGACCCTGATCTTGATTTCAGCCTCCAGGACCGTGAGAAAAGGAACTTCTCCTGTTTGAACCGCCCAGCCTGTGGCCCCTTGTCCCCCAGCCCCAGAAAACAAGCGCCTTCCTCAGACCAAAGGGCCGTCTCTCCAGCCACGGTCTCTGCCCTCCCCGTCTTCGCTTCTGTCGGCTTCTGTCCGTGGAGTCACTGTCTCTGCCCGCTCCTGAGTTGGTCAGCATCAGCGTAGAAGCATCCCTGACCCTCCGTCCGGCACCACTGAGCTTCTGTGTCCACACACAGTATCCTGGCCTCTTGGCTCACCTGCACGGTGGCAGGTCCACCCCGGCTCCAGCCCTGAGCCCACCACCCAGTCTGGTCAAGGCCACTGGCTTCCTGGTCCCTTGGGAGTGGACACCAGTGTCTTCATCTTCCACGCCCTCCCCGTGGCATCTGCTCTGCCCTTCTTTCCCGTTCCAGAACTCTCTTCCTCCAGAGCCGAGGACCCCGCCTTCTCCTGGCTTCTCCTCCCACCTCCTGGGCGCCTCCTCAACCCCCTTTGTGGACTTTCTTCAGCATGAACCCTTTCCCTCTTCTAGCTAAAGTCTCCACAAACTCGTTCTTCAGGAATAATCAGTGCCCTGGACCACAAGAGATTAGCGTCCCTGTCGCAATGTCACAAGTTGTGTGAACAGTGAGGTCATTTAGGTGTCTTGACCCCAAATGTTTAGGCAGTAACCACCCAGCATCGTGGAAATGTGACTGGCTGCCAGGAACAGGGACACAAAGCCTGGAGGACTCAGCTGACACTGCTCTTTGTGTGACGTCCTGTCTGATGAGATGAAAGTCAGAGCTTAGCTTTGCAAAGAAAGCACATCTCAGATTTGAAAAAAGCGCCCGTCTCAGCCTGCTCCCCCGGGAAGTGGAGCCTGAAGCCAGGCTGAGATTCCTCAGTTTGTTTAGGAGGAGCAAGGCCAGGACGGTGCGGCGGGGAGAGGGCGGGGAGAGGGCAGGGAGGCAAAGACGGGCTGGGCTGTGTGTATGTGGCGGCATTGCACAGCCACCTGGTCTCACCGAGCTTGCTGGGGTGGCCACCGCGGGGGTGGGGAGGGTCCCCCAGCTCCCCTGGGTCCTGTCTCCCCCTTGGTCAGGGCTCCTTCCCCCAGGCGCTGACTCCCCACTCGGGCCACCTGGCTGTGACTCCCACATTCATCCGAGTCTGAAAGTGGGGGGCAACTCAGCGTGGGCGAGACCCCAGCGACAGGGAAGAGGGGGGAGGAGGGGTGTCTGAAGTGGAACGTCCTGGATTTTCTGTACAAGCTCCTTAAGAGGAGACCATCCAAACCAAGGTTTAGCACTTCCAGGATTAGCTGCCATCTCTCGTCAGGACGTCCTAACTTGCCTTGAGCTAAAGCCTCACTCCCCTCTGTGCCACCCTCTCCAAGTCCAGGCGGTCCTCACGTGTCCCTTGACTGCCCTATGAGGTCAGTGTGACTGTCCCAGGGTGCAGACAAGGACAATGAAGCTTAACCATCTCCCAGCAGGGCCAGGCTCCCACGGCTATCGGGGCGGGGCTGGCACGTGAGCCCCAGCTGCCTGGCTCCAAGCTGGCCCTGCCCTGTGCTGGGCGGCCACCCTGCCCGGCCCCAGGTCAGGGTTCTTCCCCCAGGGCCCAGAGGCCCTCCACCCCTGAGCTCTGGCCCCACGGGCCCCCTCCTCTGCAACTGCCCTGCGGAGGCCTCCTCAGTCCCACGAAGGCTCCTGGGGTCATCTCTGCACATGTCCTGCATCAACACCTGAGTGCAGGTGGGAGGAAAGGCAGAGTCTTCCTCGACTTTCTGTATTAACTTGGTCTTTCTCCAGGTGACTCACACACACACACGTACACACACATATATATACACACACACACATACATCACACACATGCATATACACACATACACACACATATATACACATATACACATATGCAAACATTT